CTGGACAGGAATCAACTGTATGTGAACTATTATCTGGAGTCGCAACATTGTTGTATATCAAGATTACGTGTAGTTTTTTGCTGTTGTAATGCCCCCTGTATTTCCGACTGTTTTTACGCTGTTACATCGCGTTTCTATTTTACTTTGGCCGGCAGTTTAGCAGCTATTGTACCGATAGCGACAAGGACTTCGAGTTGGCGCTCCTAACCCTATAGGGGCGTCCGACTCTTATAGAAAGTAATATACACAAGACTCTTGCTACAGCTGCCCTCTGTCTTTGTTATTGCACTTTGCTACATTGACGGGACCAACAGCTTTCCAGGGGTAGACAAATGCGGATAGACGCAGTCAAGATGGCCAGTAAATGTTTGTGTGACCGTTTGTTGCTGGCGGATCACAACCACCGACTAGTTCCCGTGGCCGTTACCACCGGCAACAGGGGCAGCGGCAGCCTGGATGGTAACCAGCCACTTGCCAACGCGTCACTGGCCTTCGATGAGTCAACAAGTTCTGATGACTTCGTCGTCGTGAGGCCATCGTTGTCGGCGTACGACGGGGCATCACCAACGTCAGCAAAGCCCTGCTATCATGACTAGCAGGGGCACAAGCACACTATGGCGCACAACGATAACAGCTATCATTTCGACGCTAGTTATATTGAAAATAATGTTTGATAGATCTTCCTTTTTATTGGCAGCGAAGATTCTTAAACTTTTCTTGCTAACGATGGATGATCGAGCATGAAGATGTGTGGATAGATGAATATATGCATGTATGTATGTATGTGTCGAATTTTGTGTAGAAGATGCCTCAAACTGCAAACGGGTCGGGCAGTACAGACACATCTTAGTCCCCACTATTATACAACGTACGCACATCCACACCCACCCACACAGGGCCAATACAGAATAGCGGAACTGAGTTGTTTCCGAGCAGCAAAAGTAATTCTGCCGTTAAGTCATTGGTAGCGGCATCGGAATGATCGTCATAATTTGATGAATAATCCTAAGCGCGGCCTATCATCAGTCGTTTAGCAACTCTGCGTATGTGTGTCATGTACGTAACGTGTATCATACGCATCCCATGTTCATTTTTAGATTCTACTCTACTATATTCAAACGTAAATAGAAATATACGCTGCATATAAACGCTAATATAGTGCACTAAAGGCATAAAAAATAATAGATAAATTAGGTCGTCAGATGTCTACCTGCGCATGTTAGTCGTCGTAGCAGTAGTAGTGGTTATCGTTCCCGTAAAATCGTACTTGCTTCAGCCGTTGTTAATGACATCGTGGGTTTTCTTTCAACATATTGCTGTCGCTATGGTTGTATCTGGATTAGTGAGCACACAGATAGACGGCAGACAAACCGGAGACATGCGGTAACTAGATGGTTTCTCAAATTAGTAAGTAAACATTTAAGCCATCTTACTGCACAGTATTCATACACACAGACTTTGCATACACAGTCGTTGCAACACGTCTAAATTTGATTGATTTGTTATCGATTTCTCATTGGACGTTTTAAATTATGCCGCTGTAACCACTCGAACAGTTGGCGGCGACAGCGACTCTATTGCTGCTACTGATTATTGTTATTTGCCGTCTGACGCCGTGGGAATGAAGTCTCGGAGTAGTTCCAACTTACCTGGCTATCCTCTCAAATGAAAAGTAGCTCACTGTCTTAACTGTTCGCTAGGAATGTTTTTGTGACGACTATATGAATTGATTGACCTAGCTATTTTAGTGTTATTTAGCGGTATTTCTAATAGTGACTGGTTCCCGTCAGTTCGCACTAGTAGGCCATAGACATGGGAGAGATGGACAGTATTAACTGACGGAAATGAAAAATGACAACTTACGCCATTTTCAGCGACGGTAACTTTTTTCCCTCTCTTTTTCTCTCACAGTCACGCTGTCCCTTTGAGATGTCACCGTTTGCGGTTTTTAAAACTCCATTTATTTTTTGTCAAGAGGACGTCGCAGAGAACAAATCTCGAACAATTTCTATAAATACAAAACGTATAGATTTCGTATTTATAGATACAAAAAAAAATGTTAATGACGGCTTTAGCGTTTATTATGTGCTCTGCAGGATAAACGACATCGAAATCGAAAACGCATCTACTACTACCGTACGAACATGTAACGAACGTATTTCCTTACCTGCAAGCGGCAGGAACACAAATGACACTCCCCTGACATAATAACGGTAAGTTACTGTGAGAGGGTTCAAATGAGTTCTCACCAACAGGAGAAAGAAAAAAAAAGTTGATTCAGTTCAGACTGTGGCCAAACGGATAAAAATGAAAGCTGCTTATATAAGGACGCCACTATTACTGGGCGCTATATACGGGCGGAAATACATTCGACCCAAGAAGAACAGCGAATATTTTTTACTTACTACTTAATAAGATCCGTATGTTACTATTGAACGCCGAATTTCAGGGATTACGCTTTCTTCAATGTGGCATCCTATTCAGTCATCTGTCCAAAAACTGAAACGCCAAACTCTTTCAACATCATGAGATTTTCTACGATTATGTATACAGCAACAGTGGTGATTGATGTGACCGACTACTATGACGTGCAGATACCAACCATGCTGGTGGTTCACGGAAGTTAATGAAATCCAAATAAATCCGTACTAAATGATTCAATCAATTTGACCGTTCTAACACATCCAGAACGCTAGGTCTCTCTCGCGTCACTCTGTGCGCAAACAGAACGTTGTTGAAAATTATTTTCAGGTAGCAAAGTTCTGTTCACCTGAGACCACATCAGGCCCCGCGTGCGTTCTTCCCCGTATTAGTAGTATTTTTGTACAAGTATTTAATAGTATAAAAAAATAAACAACTACCCAAAACCCAAACTAAACACAAGAGAAATGTTGGAGAAGAATTCAGATTCAGGCCATTTTCTGAACATAGTTCCTTAGGGTCTCCCTTTCTCGTTTTTATCCTAATGCTTCTTTATACAGCACCGTCATATACATTGGGGCATTTTTCATGCGCGCACGCTTTGACCTTCTTATTTCGTCCACTTCGACGTTTATTCGCGCCCTTCGTTAGCTTATAAAGAAAGCAGAAGTGGCACAGATAAAAGAAAGTCCGGAAAAAATTATTCTGCCCTGCCTACCACGTCCTTACCGTTTGCACCTTCTGCGGCCGCTTTTTCGTGTTGCCGTCAATGGCGGTAGAAGGAAAAAATGGTGGAAGAAACCTTCCCGTCCGTCAGTGGTACCTACTATCCATAAGGACACAGAAGTCGTGCGTCCGTCGCTTGGTGCACATAAGCGCCGTCGACGATGCCCAGCCATGGATGGCTTCCCTTGTCATTTAGTCGCTGTTGTCGATCTCCGCTTCGACGTCAATTACGGTACAAACAGCACAAATTTCGCTGCTTTTTTCTTCAGCATCTTCGTTACTCGTCGTCGCTGTTGTCGTCGCCGTCGTCGTTGTTGTGATTGTCCAACGACGTCGAATGGAACGGGTGGACCCGATGCCATGTGCTGCTGTTTCACATCAAGCATTGCTGATAGTGCCATATTGTTGTTGCTACCAGCGCGAGTTGCTGTACTGTGTGGGATTTATCACCAGCGTCACCACACATTACCGCCTGCACAAACTGGCGCATAGCCAGTGGCCCGCTGGACTTACGTAGGCCGTTAGCCACTGCTGAGTCAGTCAGTACGTCGCTCACACGAAGGCACGAGTCAGGTGTTTCCGCCTCGGCCGAGCCCAGGCTCGTGCTTTTTGATCCCTTCTTCTACGATTCGTTCGAAACATTATTAGCTGAGGGCCTGCAACGACAGAAGCCATCGAACAAGCGGACGCAAGCTAACTGCAGCTGGCGAACGGCGAACGGCGAAACAGCGTGTAAATGGCAGACGCAGACGCCAGATAAACTGTAACGGCACGCAGCAATAGCAGCAGTCACAGCAGCAAAGTACGGAACCAAGCCCTTGCTCAAACGTTCGCGCTAACCACAGCACAGCACAGCACAGCACAGACACAGCAGCACTTTGTGGTAACAGCACAGCAACAACGTAGCGCCAAACGAACCAACCACCTGATCCAAGATGGCGGCCGCCAGTGCAGCAGTGAAAAGGACGCGTTGCTCACGGAAAAATGGTGAGAAAACAGGACGAAGGTTCAAGCAAATAGAATGCACGACCGGACAAAAACGATATGTCTTGTTTGGAGATGCGAGCACGCTGACTATTTTCGAGCTATCGTGACCATTTCAGAGTCTTAAACATCAACAATGCATACTCCGGTATCATGCAAAGATAGCTGAAATGACAACCATATGTAGATGCAGGGAACGAATCGATCTGTGAGTCCACGGTAACGACGGAGATGACAGGAAGCGGATCTCGCATAGACAGAATGCGACCTACACATTTGGCAATTAGAAGCATGCAGCTCAATTCGATTGTTTAAGACAAGCCATCAATAACAGTCATATTATACTTCCATGTTAAATGAATACTATGCAATAATAACAGTATTAATAAAAAAGCACAATTGAGTGTCGAAGCAGAATGTACAACAGGGATATTTCTCATTTAGAAGTGACCATGACTTTTCTGATGCGTCCAAAAAAATGTAAATCGTTTTACTTTCTTCAGCCTAAAATTGTACCGCCTTACCAAAAACTTTATGGGTGGAGTCTATACCAGCCGACAATATTGGTTTTCAACAACAACAAATGTGCATGAACATAAAAACGTTCTCATTACCTAAAACACTTTTGTGTGTCAAGACGAGTGTAACGTACGAAAATGTTATCAGCGAGTAGCCGTATTCAAAAGCATAGCTAGCAACTCTCAACTACTAATAGCACAGAGTCGGACCACTTTGACGCTGGAACAATCACTGGCATATTATAAGAAACCCTACTGAGATTAGACTGGCATTTGAACCTCGTAGAAAATTCATTTCATGTTTCATGTTAAGGGATTCTGTCCCGTGCTGATTGCCCTGGATGTACATACCATTTTTCAAAGGATGCTTCGGTGCGGCGTGTGTTGTGTCGATGATTTTTCTAGTCGAGTGAAGGAGCATAATCCAGGGCAGTACGAAATCACTTTTTTAAATCCAAAACGAGACCGCAGCGTTTGCGATGCGTGCGGTAGGACACTTATCCAAAGTGGCGTACGCAGGAGGCCGTCATATCCGACGATGACAATAATAAAAGAATGACGTTGCCAATGGCTTCTTTTTAACAATAAACTGTGCCAATCAACATGAACTTAACAAATAACAAGCAACAAACGAATACGCAATATTTTGGCGATAAAAATCCACGAGAACAGCTGACGAAACTGGGGTCTTGGGAATCCGATCCGATCGACTTTAACTCGTGTGAATACAACGATGAGAAGGCAATGATTGAAGTAAAATCCTGGCGACACTGGTTAGAGGCGTAACGAACAGATAGCACGTAAGCACACACTTTAAACGCGTCAGGATTGCTGTCTACTCTTGTAAGACTCCACATGTTCTATTTAACCTTACCATCTATTCCAACCTTTCCGTTGAAAGCGTTGTGGAACCGCTGCCGCAGAACGCCAAATATACAACCATATTCAATTATAACAATAGAAGATGTTCTATTTTCCTCGAGTTAATGTTGATCTGAGACTTACAATACATATGGGGTTTAAGAGTTGCTCACGCAATTTTACGGAGTAGCTCCATTAATCAAGAAAGCACCGTTTGTAAGGCAGTGGACCCGCTAGCCCGTTTAAGACTAACTGTATCAATCTCGTTCGGGTTAACAGTGGGGTTTTTCTCATTCGCATTATTCACAAATTCGAAAATAGGTCGTCTTCGGCTATTGAGTCATCGTCCCTTGTGTGTGTGTGATGTCGTTTCGATGGAAGCTAATGGGCAGGCAGACATAAGATGTGCCTGGAACGAAGTCTATTTAGGCGACGTGATACCTGCTGAGGATCGATCGTCGGTCGACTGAAATTCGTCGCTCGATAAATCTTCCTCCATCTGCCGCATTATACTCACACGAGGACATCAGACGCTAACAGATTACGGCCACTTTTTAGGTTGACAGGCACTCCCTGTTGCGCATTTTACCTACCGGAGAGACAAACAGAAAGGCGGGCTCAGAACCACTGTGCCGCATGGTAGACATCGCTTACCGATGCAATTGTGAATCCCTTGCTCCGATACTACCTGTACTCGATTCTTTACGGCGCATCTATGCGCGCAATGTTTGCACAGCTGATTTCGCACATTCTAATGTCTGTTTGCCTTTCGTTGTCTCTATTCTGACCTCATTGTAGTCTTTGCGTTTTTTCTTCCTGTCACTGGCCACCTTCATTCGAGGCTCCTGGGGCTGGTATTCTCCATTTCAGACGACCGAGAACGATGTCCCTCTGTGTTTACGTTGGTATGGCAACATAGGCAAGTTTTGTAGTAGAACAACGCCGGACAACGCTTAGAGCTACTACTGCGGCTGATAGAAGTTTCAACAGCAGTCGAAGTAGTGCTGTGATAGTCAAAAAAAAAAAAAAGAGAAAAGAAAAAGAAAGAACGACACACACGTACACAGCATAAACAGGTTGTTAGTCGTCCTGCAGACTAGTTAGTCGACGACCGTCCACTAGCATTTAGGCACGAGCGGTGAAGGCACACAAAATGAAGCTCGAATGCCTTCACGACACGGAGCTGTCTCTTCGATTGTACGCTTTATAACCAGTTCTCTATTGCTGTTTGTCGTTAGCTGTACAAACTCGCTTGCTATAATCGACGCTGTCTTCTATCTCCGACGTATATCTGGTGTTGCTACACAGCAGCTCCAGCGAGCGCTGGGGAGGCTCGGCTAACTCACGGCGCGGTGGCTGGATGTGCCGCTGGCTGCTAAAGCGGCGGCACCGACGAGCGCCATTCGACCGATGACAGCGGAGCCCTCGTGAATGGGAAAGGGACAGTGACTATAATGAGAGAAGGAACGAGGACGACAAAACGCCGACGGCGGCGGTGGCAGTCGCAGCAGAATTGTACGCGTAGCAGTGGCAGTAGTGCAAATAGCTATTGTTAGTGCGACTAAGACGGCAATTGCTGATGGCCGCTGCCGTCATCGTTGTAGGACCAGCAGCAGTAATGGCGGTGGTGGCGGCAATAGTCCTGCTGCTACAGGCTACCGGCCAGGCTTCAGTGGTAGCGCTCACTGGTGGAGGCAACCTTAGCAGTAGACATTGCTGAATGGATAAATTGTGCTGAGTAATAGAGTATTAGTGAGGGACAGCATTGGTCTCAGTACCATGAATGGGTACGTGTGGCAATGTAAGAATGCTACCAGTATTTATAATTGTGGTGTGGACACCAGCACAGACAACGACGTCAATCAAAGATTCTCGGAGCTTGTATCTATCTATCTATCTATTACATAGGAGAGGCAACGTTCTAAGCAAGCCCACACAGTGGCAAGCAGCTCATTAAAGAGAAATGCCAGTAAGGCATGCGTTGCCATAGACACATTGCACGAACAGGGCGAAGGGACAAAGAGGACAAACAGCGTGAATACGGCCAACAGTGAGTTATCGTGCTATATAGAAAAGGAAGTACTCAGTCAACGTTGCTACAATACCATGGCCACGGCTTGTAGCAGCCGTACGCTGCTGGTGATAGTAGTGATAAAAGCTAGTTAGCTTGCTGCATCTAGAACGTATAATCCACATAGATTTGGAGTTACAGTCATTTACAGTGAGAAAGAAGCCGTTATACTGTCGAATGCATTGAGATGGACACCGAGCAAGGGTTCCATGGACGAGTCGTCGGACAACCTACGCGGCTGCTTGTTTGCTTTTTACTGTTAAGCAGCTGAGGTTTCTCAGTGCAAACTACATGATCCATGGCTTAGTACCCTAAGAACCCGACAAACAGATCACCAAGCTGCAATACTCGTGCTTAAATCCGGCTCAGTTAAGCCAGCTAACTTAAAGGCTGGCCGTTTCCGCGAGGTAATACCTAACGCTAGAGAACGTCGCTCATTAGATATCATTATTCTGGAAGAATAACTTCTCTTACGCAATTAACGGTCCGTGAAGCAGATAGGAAAGCAGCGTTAGGGATATTCAAGCATGGTCTCCGACTATGAACGTGCCAGATTTTGTATAGTGCATTTATCTATTGATAAGTAGATATGATTGAGATCTGTACGAATCCTTGTTCACAATAGACAAGCCTAAAAAGTGCAGTTTACATTGCTTCTATATGTCGATGTTTTAAAGACATACACGGCAGAGTTCTCTAAATATAGTGCCTCGATCATTAGATAGTCTTAATCATTCCCTGGATAGGCCTATACGTAGTAGCTGACATATTCGGTGAATATAAAAGAAGAGCTAAGCAGAATCCGATTATTAATTAAATCAATTCTCAATCAGTAAATTCGATTAATTAAATCAATTTCGAAGATTACTTTTTTGTATTCGCCGATATGTACATTCTCATGGACGTCACTAAAAGAGCTCACTAACATTTCCATGTTAGCTTTTCTGCCAAATTTACCACGGCAGGATTAACATTGGTCCATTAACTTTGTTATTGTGTCGAGCAAAAAGATTTCGAGGTTACTCCAGCCTTGGAATTACGTCGAATACGCCTTGTGGCCTACGCTTGGCGTCATCGGTAAGTAATCACACAACTAATTTACCTCATGACGATAGAGAGTCGGTCTTCAACCGTAATTTCAGCCACGTTCATAGTTCAAATCCCCGACATTTATAGGACGTATGTGTATTAAGTCGGCCTACTGAAAAACAAAGACTATTGTGGAACAGACAGGCGTCATTTGTGAGAATACATGTGCTAAAAAGGTTTCACATAAATATATAGGCTGGCTAATAAAAGACACGGCTGGATATAATAAATCATTTACCACACCCTATTTTTACAGATCGTCCTAGATGAATCCTTCTTTCCATCTATTCTATTCATCTTAAGCGTTCAGAGCACCTTCATCCCATCGACGATTCCGTTGGTTTGTTTCTATAAAATTTACTCAGACCAACAAACCAATCGAGAGTTGAGCTATCTGTATTTTTAAGATTTTCATCAGGTGAGTTTAAGGCCGCATACCGACCTTCTAAGTCCTAATCTCTACACCATTGTTCGTCTTTTGCGCTGGTTTTAACGAGTGAATGAGCTATCATGAAAGCGTTAGCCTTTGTCCTAGACTTCAATGAGGGGTAGTTTGCTGACTCAAAACTTTTTTAAGTACCGTCATCATCGATTTTATTTTTGAGACTGTTACTTTGATAATGTCGCCGTTGCTGTTACGCTTCAATTTGATTTCTCACTTCTTTTGCCATTCCGTTTATTGCTCTATTATACTGTTCGTCATTGGCATTGTTGTCTCTAATATTGTTCATTTAATTTTTGCTGTTATTTCCGAACGATGCTGAAAAATCGTTCCACGCCAGAAAAGTACCGGTAACGTTTGTTGTCTCCTTTCAATTTTCCTCTGTTTGTTATTGTAGGTCGTAGTTATTTAGTAGCTTTGGGCGTGCCGCCCGCCCTTCAGTCATATGACTTCCTAATGAATCTCTTCCAAACTGGCACTCTCTCTGGGGGCTCAAGGATTAAAGGTGGGGCTAGTCATAAAAGGGTAACGGCCGCTGGGAGCTCGTTCAACATCAGCAACAGTGTAACTGTTACGATAATATGAAAAGGAACATAAGAACAGAAAAGGGTTGGCAGGAGAACTAGCGGCAGCAGCAAGTCAAGCGGCGTTGACCGTCCAGCGCATGCTGATCAATAGATACCATTGAACGAAGACGTCTTCTTCCTCACGCTGCCATCCCCTAAACATTGTTCTACAGCTGTTCATCTGCTGTGTCAGCACCTTAACTTACCATCTTGTCTCCATCTCGTTCGTTCAACTGGGAAACTGTTATCCAATAGTCTGACAGACACGCCGCCGACAATTGGGTCGAAGCATACACGAGATGACGGACGCCCTACAACGGTACGAATCGACGAATGGGAAAACAGTAGATGAGCAAGCGAGGCTGCAAGAGGGAAAGTACCGACATTGAACGGGGTTAAGCAGAAGCGAACTGACGAAAGAATAAATTGAATTGCAGAAAAAAGTTAAGGAGACAAAAGAGGAGCGATGCAAAAGGTTGTGGAACAACACTCAAGCGAAATCAGCAGAACGTCTAACGCTTATCGTTGAGGCCGGTTACAGTGGCTGTCGGAGCAACGTGTCCACAGATGGGACGTGACTCTGAATCCGTATATACCTGTCAAAAGCAGCAAGAACCATGTGGCGCAGATGTAGTGTGATCTGATCTTTTTATTTAGTAGCAGTCTTCCAGCTGAGTTCTGCTCACTGCGTGCGTCTGATAAATCTGCGATTGTATCCTGAGGCACACCAATTAGCCCTGGCGTCAAGAAACGATAACACTGCTATGATATGATAAAACATGAAGCTGGTGAGGGGTGGATAGAAATTAGTACCTATGGAATAGATCTACGAACGGTTTGCTCAGCTAATTTGTTGGTGCGTGGAGCATCGATTTCCGTAATTTTTATTTTGTTTTTATTTTTTTGCTTCATTGCTATTATAGGTCATTTACTTATGCTAACAAGGTCCAGAGCGTTTCGTTTGGAGGGATACGTAGAGCGTAAAAGGGGCAATTTATAAACAAGGAGGTTATTCTAAATCGATAAAAAAGCCTCAGCGCGAATGGCAGTCACCAGATATTTATTACATCAAATAGACATAATACCTTACAACAATATGCACCTGAATCTATTGTGTTCAATTGAACTGTTTGGATGATAATTGAAGACTGAAAAACCAACGCCTCAAGTAGAGAAAAGTTGCCTATATTTGAGTTGAAATTGAAAAGTAACTATGAAGATAAATATAATATTTAGAACGATTACGGCAGCAATCCAAATGAATACAAAATATTAAAAAAAAAGTGACGTTACCTTTAGGATGTATCAAGTCAGAAGCCGGACTGAACGAAAGAGAGAGAGAGAGAGAGAGAGAGAGAGAAGTAACTGTTCTTATGTGGTCGTGTGTAGATGAATACTTGCACTGTTCATACCAAGGTACCACGCTTCGGTATTTTGAATTAGGATGATATGAAGTTGATTAAAATGTATCGAAGCTCCAGCAAAACGATGAGAAATTATTGAAGAAGTTATTATTGAAGAAAAGAGTATTATTGCATCCGTACTTCAACATGCTGATACGAGGCACCACTCACGTGTCGTGGAAAATTCATAGTTATGGCTTCGCTTCCATGTTAATTCAAATCTACTGGGAACATTGTGGAAAGAAAGAACTTAAGGGAAAGACACTCATAAAATGGTGGAGGCTTCGAAAGCGTTACTTCGACTCGGTAGCCTGACAATTTGAGGTGACTCATACCAGCGAAAAGGAAGGCTACAGTTCCAAGAGAACAATTCTGTACGATCAGCCTTACACTCTAAAGTTCTGTAGTTCCTATCTTACCAGACTCAGTTTATTTAATAAATTTCCGACTCTTGATCTCGGTAAACCTGAACGGAATGTTACTTACAATGTTTAAAAATATATGGCCTAGAAATGGATTTATTTATTCACACAAACTGTGTAATATTTGTGTCTCGTTATAGACACGTATGGATTAATATCTACACTGTAAAAAGCTGAACGAAGACGTTTCTGGCGAAAACGTAAAACAACAGCCCGTGCTAGCCGTTGTCTGTTTACAGGAATAACTTGATGTTATGCGAATTTATGTAAGTAATTGTTTTGGAGCTTGTTGTCACAATTACTGAGATTGAAAAGATCATTTCGAAAGCAATTAGCAGCTGAGTAAAACGAAGTAATGATGTCTCATAGAATAGAGCCGTTG